GATTACAAAAGGCGGCTCGGGCAATTCAAGGCCATTGATTCATCCCCTCCTGTAACTGTCTCTTACTCCCCCATTTTTTCCAGATTTTATTCAACTGTGAACTCAACTAGTGTAAAAAAATAAAAATTCGTATAGCACACTCCAAAATTATCTGGAATAAGACTTAATTTCTTGTTGATTCTTGATGAATAGCTAAGTTCTCTCTTTGCTAGAAAGGTTCCATGTAAGCTAAGCTAGAATCATATATGGTCACGCTGAAACTGCATTAGCTACTGATTCAGATGGTGTAATTGACAATTTTTAGCACCTAACAAATGTAAATGTCAACTTAATGTTTTGATTTCTCTTTTTTCCTGTAGATTATTCCAGGCTATGACGTTGCCGGTGTGGTGGTTAAAGTTGGTAGTCAAGTAAAAAGCCTAAAAGAAGGAGATGAAGTATATGGGGACATAATTGAGATGTTAATGATACACGAACGACCAAAACGATTTGGCTCATTGGCTGAGTACACTGCTGTTGAGGAGAGCTTACTGGCTCTGAAGCCCAAAAATCTTGATTTTGCGCAGGCTGCTAGTCTCCCTCTTGCTATTTTGACTGCCTATGAAGGTCTTGAAAGTGTGGGATTTTCTGCTGGAAAATCCATACTTGTATTAGGGGGTGCTGGTGGAGTTGGATCCCTTGTGATCCAGGTAAACCTCTAAGCTATGACTTACTTTATCTGTGTGGATCATGTAAAGGACTAGATATTACAATAGACAAGATTTTAACGTCTTTCTGTTAATTACTATCGCTTGCTCCAAGTAATGGCTGAGGGATTAAGTTAACGGCATAGAGAAACATTAGAACCATCTATTTATTTTGGTGATGCAGCTTGCAAAACAAGTGTTTGGTGCTTCAAAGGTGGCTGCTACTTCAAGCACGGGAAAACTGGAATTTCTGAAAAGCTTGGGTGCAGATTTGGCAATTGACTACACCAAAGAGAACTTTGAAGACCTTCAGGAAAAATTCGACGTTGTTTATGACGCTGTAGGTAAGTAAATGTGCCAATTTCTGCTAAATTTGAAACCATGTTTGTACTATTAAATTCTCTTATTTTACACATTATGAGATTGATCCCAAAGTGAAAGACTTGTTAACATATCTAAGACGATACGATTGGAGATTTGTTCTAAGATGAATCATGTGTAGTAGTTTAGCATGTTGGACAATGTTTTTAGGTATCCAAAGTAGCTAAGGTCTTTAAGATGATAATGATGTTCGAGGTATGTCTGCTCCTATATTCAGGACGGCAACGTTCAGAGCATCTTACTCTCTCTGAACCTAATAAGATGGAATTCCAACCCGACAAGTGATAATAATAAGCACTTGGACGTGGACACAACAAATTTTGCAAAAAAGCAGTTCATAATTTCATAAGGACTATCGGAGGACTACAGATCTAGTATTTGAACTTTTCAGAGGGGAAAATGCTAAAGGGACCTGCAATGGAAATTTTATTCTATCTTTTTAAATTATTTTTCTCCCATTCACAAAATTGATGTGATCTCACTCTCATTATTAGAGATTGGATGAGAGAGGTGTAAACCCGAAGTGGAAATGCTAAGCATCTAGTTTGCATTGGATCTTCTAGTAGATATAGCAGTTCATGTAGTTGATCCAAAATTTATCGAGAATAAAGATTATTGTTGGGAGGAGGAATTTGCTCGCGACAGTTTCAATATTCGGGAATTCTTACCCTTCAATTACATTATTGTTGTTCGACTTGAATTAAACATTGTTCCTCATCGCATAATTTCTTTCACTGCCATCATATTTCTTTGAAAAAACAGGGCAAGGAGACAGGGCAGTGAAAGCAGTGAAGGAAGGTGGCAGTGTAGTAGTTATAATTGGTGAAGCAGTACCACCTGGTTTTTTGTTTATGATACATTCGGATGGAGAAATATTGAAGAAACTAAATCCAATTCTGGAGAGCGGGAAGGTGAAGCCGGTGCTTGACCCAAAGGGGCCTTACCCTTTCGACAAGGTTAACGAAGCTTTTGCTTATCTGGAAACAAACCGAGCCACCGGAAAAGTGGTCATATTTCCTATCAATCCATGATCAACAACTTAGAATCTAGATCTGTTCTAGCTAAAAATATATGATAGTTTGGTGTGAGACTGGCAATGTGGTTGTGAATATTCTGAATATAATATAAAATGTGTGGTAAATCTTGTAGTTGCTGTTAAATGTATGTTGTGACTGGCATGTGTATTAGCTCATGTGAAATAGAAAATAATGCATGTATGTGCCCGTCTGCGATTTTAATACATTTTTTTTTTTAACAAGTACAATTCGTTAAGGAAAATCTTGTGTAATACTTGAGGGTAACCTAACCCTTGTATCCTGTGACCAACAACCATTAGAACCTCTTAAAATGTCTCATGTGAGTGAAAGTTGTATGGAGGATTTCAATTATCGGTATCAGAACACGACCTACTTCATAGTCGATAGCAAACTATCTATAAAAGATCGACTTGGCAGGATAATTACAACCCGATTTGCTCCTCAATAACAATATATTATTTCTGGAAGTGTATACTTCCCCTAATAAATTTTATGACCTGGTGGAATTGCCTAGCTATAAATGGGAGGTGGAGGATGGTATCTCGCTCGCTCACGCTTTCTCATCTTTCTTATGTAAAAATATGAATTGTATGTATCTTGTTTATCTCGATAATTGAGAGAAGTAAGTTCAGTAATTCATTAAATGGACAATTTTTTAGTGTCTAGATACAATGAATGTGCAAGCGATGCGAAATTCAAGCATATAATAATTAAAAGTTATGATGAGACAATGAAGGAATAATTGGTGTCGTTTTCAAACAAGAACTAGACATTGTAAAGTATATATTAAATACAATTAATTTAAACTTTTTCATGGTATTGTACAATCTATCTTGCGGAATACATTAATATAGAATACTTTACATGCCATATTATCAAATGAGCCTCATGTAATGCATGAGATAATAAAGGTGATAAAGGACGAAAATTTTTTAAATTAGATAACTTAATATTATATCAAAGTCGGATAAATATCCGAAAGTTCAAGATAGTCAAACAAATTAGACTGTACCATCGAATATTTAGGGTGTATTTGAGAAACATTATTTGGAAGAATGTATTTTGAAATAGTAGATTGATGGAGAATGTGTGGTTGAAAAAGAAGGAAAAGTTATTGATGTGATAAAAAATATTATTTTATTGAAAAATGTATAGTTAAAAATGAGTAGAAGAATAATTATGAAATTTTATGTGGCTCAAACAAGGGGTTAGTACTTCAACAACAAGTCTTTTGATAGTGTACGGCTTGATTATTTGTTGATTAATTGAGCGAATATGTACTCAATTAATGTTAAATTATGTTAATTGTAGGTAACACCATGTGTCATTAGGGTTGAGTATAGTTTGGTTCGGTTCGTATCTAAAGAGAATCGAACCGAACTCGAATTTTCAGGTATTTAGTAAATAGAACCATCGGATCCAAATTCAATTATAGAACTGTTCGGGTTCGATTTCATTCTGTTCGATTTGGTTCTATTAAATTCTCGAGTTCTGTACAATAATTATTTTTTTTTTATTACAACAACTTTACATTAATTTAACCATGACATGTTTAATCTTAATTCTTATAAAATAACGTAGTCCAATATCATGATAGATTTTGCACTTCTCTTTATTGAATTCTTCATAAATTTGACTATTAAATTACAAGAAGGTGAAAATGGTGAGTTCATAATAATAGAACAATAGAAATGACATTACGGTAGAATAAGATATTTGGGTAAAATTTGGATCAATTTGATTAAATTGGGTTTGGATAGAATTAGGAATATTAAAATTATATTTTGGGTTTGGACT